AGGTCCTATGAGCACAGAGCAAAAAGGACAGCAACCTACAAGCCAGCAAGAGAGATCCACCAGAAATCAAAAAGGCCTCAACCCTAATATTGAAATTTCCAGTCTGGAAAATTGTGAGAAAATATATTCCTGTTTTTAAAGCACGCAGTCTATGGTGTTATGGTGGCCCAAGCTGAAACACACAAGGCATCCAATTTCTTTTATAATCTGGTTGTTATTTTCTCTAGAAAAATATATCACCCTCTCACTCTTATTTACATTATAATTTCTAACCACCTATCACCATGCTCCCTCTGGGCCTTTGCACATGATGGTTTGGTGTGTCTACAACGCCTCATTCTTTCAGATCTGACGAATCCTGCTTTTTCTTCCAAATTGAGCTCAGATGGGTTAGGCAACCTTGCTGTATAATTCCATGATAGCTAATAATTGCATCTCCCATAAATCATCAAAGTATCCATTTCCTTGTCTGTTTCTTGGGCTAGATTCTTAGGAAAGGAGTAGCTTTTCAAACCTCTGCATCCCTTTCTGTCAGCAACACTCAGAGAGGACTAACTTCTTTCTACTATTTCTCAGCTGCTCCTCTGAGAGTACCTTTGTTTCTCTTTCCATGAAAGTTTTATCTGTCAAATTATAATATCATTTTGGCTACAGATTATTGAATGGAACAATTGTAAAACGGTTTATGACTATGTGCAATGCATTAAACATGCTCACTAAAAGCTGCATGAATCCAAATTAAATCTATCTTTGGTCTTTAAGGACCAGTTAAATTACACATTTATAATAAATCATATATAAAGATTATAGGCAGAATCAAGTGATTCCTTCCCTATTCTTTCCCAACTTTTGTTTATAATTCAACTAAGGCATTTATCAGAATTTTCCTAACATTAGAATGATTTACGTAAATATCAACTTCCTCTCCCCTGGTGATAAGCCCAAGTGGGCAGGGACCAGGGATTTCTTCCAAGCTGCTGTCTTCACCTGCCTACACGAGAGTCTCGCACACAGCGGGCACGGGCGCTCACAGACACATGCGGAATCTAAGAAATACAGCAATGAGACAGTCCGGGTGATGTTCTACATCTTCTCTAGCAGACCTTGCCTTTCTAAAATCTTCCTTACAATTCATTTTTATTTTTTTAAAGATTTATTTATTTATGCATACAAAAGCTGGGGTACAGGCCAGAGATGCAGGAGGGTGAGAGAATTCACCAGAGACAGAGTGGGGAACAGAACAGGCAGATTGACTGAAACACACTGCTGAGGGCAGCAGCGGCGAGACAGGAGAGGTCTGCTGCGCCATGTAAGTCACCTTCCTGGCCAGGGATCGAACTCGTGCTGCAGAGGCTTACGGATTGCTTCATAGTGCGGTGCTTAACCCCTTGCGCCACCAGGGAGGCCCTACAATTTATTTTTAAAATGTCAACTAGAGTTGCCTGATTTGCTCCCAATCTGCCCATTTCTGAGTTATTTAACCTTTAACTGATAAGGAATGACCTAGCTATGATGCCTTGATATGGGTCACTTTTGCCTTTAAATGGGATTTGAACTTAAAAATGTGATAGAATTCCTTAACCTAGTCAGCAAGGAAATAATAAGAGCACATCCTCTTCCCTCTTCCTAGCTTTTCTTCTTCCTCTAAGGCCTCTATTGACAGAACCTAACAGGAGTCAAATAGTAAAGGTGAAATGCTGTCTGTGGAGTCTGCCCGGCCCCCCCCTCCAACTCGGCCCCCAGCATTAAGGGCAGAACACAGAAGTGGGGTTTTGCAGCGAATCAATTGCTTACTAATAGGCACATTGATCTTAGTGAAGGTGCATGAACATTTTATATTGCATAGACTCTGAGCTGGCTCAGTTTCAAACCAATGCTTTCAATCCATAAAAGAATCAAATTTTCATTGGTGTTGAGCAGTGGGGAGGGGGCGTTAATTTCCAGTTTTGCCATTCAGTGGGCAGGGCTTTTGTTTATAAAGAAGAGTGCTCTGGTGTCCAAAATGAATTGAAGAGTTTGTCTTTAAAAAACCTCTTTTAAAATAAGAGAGGAAGCCAGGAACAAGGATAGGATTCTGGAAAGCAAAATGAAATGCCCAGGAGATCGGATTTCTACTGTTTGATGGAAAAAGTGGTGTGAATTCCAGCGTAAGTGCCATTTCACAAGGCAAAGCTCTCCTAAGCCAGAAAATCGGCTGTTGCTAAATTTCTCCAATTCCACCAGCACTGAGTGCTGAGGCACAGTCCTGACAGGTAGTGTGCTGGTTTGAGAAATATATTACTAGCACTATTTTGCTGACTTTGAGACACAATGGCTTCAGTCAGTAAACAGGGTTGGAAAACATACCTTCACACATTTGCTTCATGCCTGAAAAACAAGTACATTTAGGAGAATACATCTGGACACACAAAAATTGAATAGTCAGTGCTGGGAGCCCATCAAAGCATGGATTTGATGGCTTGGCGTCTGGTTTCTAAGCAACGTACTTCTTCCATTCAAAACAGAGTTGTAAAAGTAAAATCCTGAGCCCAAATCTGGTTATTTCTCACTGAGAAAAAGAAAAAAAAAGCTACCCATGCAAGTCTGATTTCCATATCTGATTTCCATAGATAGAAGAGCTCAGATTACTTTTCTTCAGCCCTCTTGTTTTCCACATTCTGAAGGATTAGGCAGAGATAAGCATTGCATCTTGAGGTACCCTCAAATGAATACTGCATCAGGGTCTTGGAAATTTTTTCTCAGGCCCTAAATTAATAGCACTCTTTAAAATGAGGTGCATGTATTTGTAATGCACATGCTTTTCAAATATTTCGTTCTCACCAAGTTAGATATATATACCAGAGGGTCAACCGCACACTAAATGAGCTTTGCTTTACTAAAAGTATGCTTCTGCTTGGCAAGAAGGCTAGGGAGTCCTGCGTAAAATATTTGCCATGTGCAAACTGGTATGAAAAAAATTATCATAATACTTATTAAAGTCAAGATATACTGTTCATTTACTTCACCCTTGCTTTTATCTATTTAATTGTGCTGATATGTTTCACAGTTTGGAAAATAGGAATTATTAAGCTACCCAATCAAAAACAAAATCCAGAAAGAGTAATAACTTTTTTTTTTCCTGAGAAGCAATTAGGAAAATTATGGTGCAAGAGGTAGAGAGTAATGGAGTTTTCTATTAATTTTTATTTATTTGAGAAATTATGGAATGTCTATTTGTCTTCAAAATATGAAAGCGGACTATTAAAATGACCTACTCTTTGGAGGAGTATGGCTATAAAAGTATTTTTTCCTCTGTCTTTAGCGAACTTCCTTCCATAAACTCTCTGAAGCCTCTTTCTTGGCAGTCTCCAGTGATGGAGCAAAGCAAGAAATACAGACTTGGAAAGTTACTTACCAAAAAAAAAAAAAAAAAAAAAAAAAGTCTTGGAAGCCAGTAAGAAAGGGATAGTTTTACAGGAGAACTTCACTTCACAGGGAAGGCTACAGAACCAATGTTCTTCCATTTCAAAGATGAATGTTGTGCGGAAAAATTAAAGGATGGTTTCCAGAAGATCACTTAACCAGGAGAGATTTTCCATGCACAGATCTGTGCGTTGCCTGGTTCTGAAACTGCTGCCCTCCCCAGTTTTTGTTTACATGTGGTTTACATTTATGTCCACCCCATGAGCCACAAGTGTTTCTCTGCTCCAAATGTATCAACGCTTTTCCTTCCTACCCAGAGTGCCTTAGTAAAAATAGGAGAATTAGGTGGTAGGGCTGTGTGATTCTGCAAACTTCTGCAAACCATCATTTCCTGTCCTAGCCTCGTCCTGTTGGCTCAATGCGTACCATAATTTTGCATAATATTGCAAAGCTTCTAGGTCTTCAACTCTCCTGGATGGGTCTCAAGCACTTAAAGAATGAGCTTTAAAAGTCGATTCTTACCAGACATCTGAGAGGCATGACTTAAAACTGCCAATCAGAGCAGAGCTGTGAAATGAAAATGAGATCCGTCCGTCCGGCAAGCCAGGCTCAAGTCCAACTCAGCTCTGTGTCTGAATGTCACACTTACGTGGTGGTCTAATGACTGCAAATAGATAACGTGTTCCTCCCAGAACCTCTGGTCCTACAAAGATCCATTTCTTCCCCTTCCTGTCCCATCTTCCTTAAAAGAAAGAAATTCTGGGAAAACATTCCATTCTCAATTTTGATTCTTTGCCCGGATCTTTCTGCACTGGGGTTTCGGAAACATTCATCCCAAATCCAAACATGCAAGTTGGATGTGACCTTCAGTGGCATCTGAAGAGGAGGAGCCGGCGGGCACGGCTGGCAATGCCCTGGTTGACTAGGCAAAGAAGTTGCTAAGGAACTCCGCAAGGTTGGGATCCTATATTCTCCTTACACTCCCACATACCGTCCTTCCCAGGAACTGGGATTCTACCAAAGTGGATGTGTAAAAGCCTCACTAGGAAACCAGATTGGAAAAGGAATTCTTCCTCTACAAAGGCTTCCTTCTGCTCACATTGAGGAATGATTCACAGATTGAGTGAGAAGGTATGGATGTCAATAAAGGAAGGTCCTGGATAAAAAATGACTACAAAGGATGAACCAATAAGCCCTTTCAAGAGGTGGGACAAAGTTTTAAGTTTGGTTCACTAAAAAGGTGAAGCTCCCTGATTGTGAAGACAATCTTGTTTTACCCCTTTACGCATTTAGCTGTGTGCATTTCCCCAAACATTTGACTCCCTTCTCATATGGCTGCACCCATGACACAGTATCTCAGATGGGAGACATCCTGATTGACTATCTAGGAAGTTGGGTCCATTTAAGTTGGGAATTGCTGTTGGGTCTACCTGAAACACAGGGGCAGAGTTGCATGCTGACTAGGTTTCCTGCAAAAGGCAGTTAAGCAAATCAACAGTGGCAGGCAGTTTGGGGCCAAGCAAGGCCTCCAGGAATGCTGTCCCTTCCACTTACCTCCTTCAACCATTGCTTGGACCACCCTCCCAGGCTGCACCTACCTCCCGAGTAAACAGGATGGCCGCATCGTAGTGCTCCTCATGGTCGTCTCCTAGCTGGTTATGCTGATGCTGCCACTTACAAAAGTTCTTGAGTGTCGTGGCCGCGTTCTTGTTTACCTCCAGGCTCTTATCCTTGTCCCCTAGCACCACCACCTTGACCACGGTGAGGCGGATGTGGTTCTCTATGCTGGCATGGCTGTACAGCCGGTTGGCGATGGAGGCCAGGGTCAGCAGGTAATGCTGCAGGCCCCGGCCATACATGCGTGCCATGGACGCATCGGCCACCAGGAGCAGCTCCACCTGGCGGGCCCGGGAGATGGAGCGGCGCCGTCGTCTCCACCACGTCTGTGGTCCCTGGACCCCATCCGAGGAGGGAGCCCTCTGGTCCTGGAAGTACTGGGCCAGCGCCCAGCGTCGATCCGGGCTGCTGCGTGCTGGGGCGCGCTCAGGCGGCCCCGGCGGGGAAGCCGGGGTCTCGCAGCTGGTGCGCGGCGGTAGGGCCTCAAAGCTGAAGCCTTCGCGGGTGTAGACGTGCAGGACCGGCGCGGAACCATCCCCGTACACACGTCCGGTCTCCACCTCCGCCCAGGGTCCGCGCAGCAGCGGCTTTAGGGTGTAGCGTGCATGCTTGACCGCGAAGAAGCCGTCGAGACCCCCACACAGATCGAACACCGCCAGGGAGCGGGGACTGCCGTCCACCGTGCCCCGGTAGAAGCAGTGCCCCTGGTGGCGCCGGCTCGCGCTCAGCCTGCCTTTTGCGGGAACCAAGCCAGCAGCGCCCACCGAATCATCCCGTTCCAAGTCTAGGAGGAACCTCCGGCCGCCCGCGTAGACGAGGTAGCCCACTTTGCCGCCGCCGGAGTAGATTTGGTCGATGTTCTGCACGAGCCCGCGGCTCCTGCGCTGCAGTGCCCAGGGGTGCGGGTGCTGGGGAGGCTCGGCCGGTTCCTGCGCCTCCTCCCCCTGCGGCCGGCGGGGCTGGGCGGCCGCTGCAGCAGCAGCAGCCCGAGGCTGCCCGGCTTTATCCTGGGCAGGTGCCGCGGCGGGACTGGCCGCGACCAGGGGCAGGCGGAGCGCGCACAGCAGCAGGGACGCCCACCCGAGCAGCATAATGCGCTGCCCGCGGGGAGGGGCTGCGCGACGGGGACTTTATGGGTATTTGTTATTCGCTCTGGAAGTTACCGGGGCGGGAGGGGGGGCACACATACACTTGCTTGCAAGGTTGAGTCAAGGGTCGGAGGGAGGGGGACCCGGCCAACTGCGCCAGCCTGTCCCGGCCAAGGTGCCAGCGTGCGAACTTTTCTTTGTTGCTTTGGAAAATGTTTGGATTCGTGGTCCGGAAAGACGAAAAAGAAAAATTAAAAAGCCAAAAAAATAAAAAATAAAAAGCCGGGTCGTGGAGATTCAGCAAATAGAGGAAAAGGTAAAAAAACAAACAAACGCACCCAAAAACAAAAGCGAACCGGCCCCCACGGCCACCGCGATCTCTGGCACCGAGAAAAGTAAGAAAGTGCCGCGCACCCGGCGGGCACCTGGCGCGCCCGCCTCCCGCCCCCTGGCCGCTGGGCACCCGCGCGCAGCCGGGGTTCCAGGCGCCGGAGCCCACTTCGGTTCTAATTTTGTGGATTCCCTCGACTCTACTGGAACCAGGAGGCAGAGAAGGAAGACAGGGAAAAAGCCATAAAAATGAAAACAAAAATGCCAGGGCCGGCCCGCGGCGAGCCAGGGAAGGCGCGTCCGTGGCCCCCGGCTGCAGCGTCCCGCGGCCCGCGGTCACCCCCAGTCGGCCGCTGCGAGCGCGGAGAGCGGCGCGCGCGCTGTGAAGATGCGAGGAGGTGGAACAATGAATTTATAGCGGCATGCCATCCTGCAATGGCAATTTCAACAATTCGTCACTGCAAACTGCCTCTTAAAGGGAGAGCTTCCCCCACCACTCCCACCCTGGCGGGTCCGCGCCTAATCGGGCAGCCGGGGGTGGGTGGGAGGCGGCGTGGGGAGGGGTGGGGACAGGAGCGATCGAGGAACGGGAACCCGGGGTGGGGGTAGGAGGGAGGTGGGAGGGCGCAAGGGCAAAGGCGGGGTGGGGGGGGGGGGATTTTTGGGCAAGAAACCCAGAAGATTTCCTTGGCCTCATTTAAAGCCACAGCGGCTCCGGGTTGGTCTGATATTTCACAACCAAATGGGGGTTGGCTCACCCCCGCTTACCTCATCTCCTGAAGGGGTGTTTTGCTGTGTTTTGAAGTTACTGGGACATTTCAGATCTCTCCTGGCCTTCTTCTCTGCAGCTTTTCTTTCCTTCGGGGAGAAATTCGTCGCTGCAAGTGTTTTTTCCGTGCACGTCGGTGCGCGCTGGACGCGCAGACCTGGGAGCTCCGCGCGCCCACTGAGGGCGTCCAGCTTCCCCGGCGGCCCGGCTCCCCGCGCCCCTTTTGCCTCCTCGCAGCCGTCCCGGTACCCGGGTTTCTCCTTGCAGACTTCCCCAGCCTCTTCGCACTCGGACGTTCGCGAGGGTGACTAACTTCTCACAGCCACCAGCAGAGGGGCCGGCCAGCCTGAGAGCCGCGGGCGCTTCCTGACGCGTCCCGGCGCCCCAAGTGCTGCGGTGGCCCCTGGCAGGGCCTCCAGCGGCCTGGGAATTCCGCGCCTTGGTGTGCGAACCCCCTACCCCCCACTTTTCAAGCGCTGTGAGGCTGCTGCTGCATCTGTCACTTAGTCCCAGATGACTAGAACTTCCTCTGCTTTTTTTTTTTTTTTAAGTTTTATTTATGCATACAAGAACTGGGGTACAGGCCAGAGGTGTGGGAGGTGAGAGGATTCACCAGAGACAGAGTGGGGAACAGAACAGGCAGCTTGACCGAAGTACACTGCTGAGGGGAGCAGTGGGCGAGACAGGAGCTGTCTGCTGCGCCATGTGGGTATCGCCCTGGCCGGGGCTCGAACTCGTGCTGCAGAGGCTGCGGACAGCTTCATAGGTTGTGTCTTAACCCCTTGCGTCACCAGGGAGGGTCCAACTTCCTCTGCTTAAAGAGAGCAGGGCAGGGAAGAGTTAACTATTGGAGGGAATTGAGCTCATTAAAAAAATAATAATTAAAAATTCGTGTGCACATTTTTCTTATGCTAAAAGAATTAAATAACCACACATACATTTGTATTTATTTCTCCTAAAACAACCCCCAACCCCATGCCCTAATGACCTTATGACCTTTCATTGTCAGAAATTTCTTAGAAGAAAAGGACTTTGGGGAGGGGCGTGGGCGCACAGGTTGATATTTATTGTTACTTGTGCCCGACATTGTCACTGCTATTCGGGTTCTCCTTTGCTTCCTCTACTGATCAACTCAAATTAAGAAGGAAACTCTGACAGCTTTCTAACCACTACAATTCTTGCAATGTTTAGAAGGTTTACTGCAGAAGCCAGAGCGACCCTCTCTCCCATCCTACTTCTGGCGGATTCATGAATACGCCAGTGACAAAGTTAGTCCAGTACCATGAACACGTTTCTGTTTTCCCATGCCTAACTTACAGGACTGCGCACACAGGGGCCCCTCAGTCGCTCCTAATTTGCCCGTGGTTTGCTCCTGGGGAAGTGATCTGACAGCTCCTGCTCTTTGCTGCAGGGACCCAGGTGGGTCCTGGAGTGCTTTGAGGTTCTCAGAGTGCCTGACCCTAGGCAGGAATCCCAGAATTGCTCAGCAGGAGGCCCATTGCCCCGGGGCACCCCTGGGAGTTCCTTTGGGAGGCAGAGCACAGCCTGTCCTGAGAGCAGTTGTCTTTTACAAAGGAAGTGATTATTGGGTCTCCTGGATACCCTGAAATAACTCAAGAGATGGGAGAAAATTGCTATTGCTGAAGGTGCATTGCCTTTTAATCCCACAGCCACTCTCAGGGGTCAGCTGCTAAGGCCATGCTATTTTTTTTTTTAAGGAAATAAAGATGTTCAAAAGTTCTGACTATGAAGGAGAAGAATCAGGGTACAGCCTCCTGCCAGCCTTGTGCCAGCCATTCTAACTCCAGGCACCATTGCCTGTGCCTAGAAATAGCAAAATCTATTTTAATTTTTTAAAATCCATTTCAGTAAAACGTCTCTAAACCCCATCTCTAAAACCACTGTGATTCAATCATTTTAACCATTTCATCATTGTTAACCTCAAAAGATCATTTTGATAGGTAGGTACAGTGGCTTAAATTTACTAATTAGAATTATTTGCATTCATAGACAGGGTATTTCTTAGCATTTAAGGAAATTTCAACTGAATTCTCTTCTCAATAAGTTTTTTTCCTCTTTCAATCTCTCATCAATCATACTTCTAAATTGTATGCCTTTAAGTGTAATTACATAATGACATTTGTGCTCAGATTATTCAGTGTTTAGAAAAATGTTGAAAAATAGAATGGAAACAGATAAACTCCAAAAGTGAATATAAAGTACTAAATATTTACTTGAATCACATATTTATAGGAAAATGAATTAATATAGCTTATGAGTATAATGAGTACATTCTCAAATATTCAGAAAATTTCTACTTGGATATCATTTCTTTTTCTGTGAGAATAACTTTGACACTTTAGAAATTCATTTGCTATTACTTCTTAAATATTACCTTAGTGGATTAGGATGAACTCTTATGTTCTAGATAAAATATGGTCTGTCAGCCCAAGAACACAACTTGCTTTGGATGAAAGTAGCTACGGTTTTATTTTTTTTTTCAGAAAGATAAAATATATGAGAAATCGCTTCTAGATAGATTAATTGCTATTTCATGCTTTTTATTATTCCAAATAACTATTTTATTTGTGCATATTTAACAATTTCCACTGCATTTATAGAACATGTGATTGCAAATATACCTATAATTTTGTATTCCCCAAAAGGAGAAGAGACCTGCACCTCCAAAATGTTATAATTGGAATTTATCATGAGGTTGATTTAAGACAACTTCTTCCACTTCAATTAGAAACTGAGAGTAGAGATTAAGGATATTTGGCCTGTGGTTAAAAAGTCCACGTCAGCCCTCCTGAAACCTCGATCTCTTCACTCATTTAATGCTCCATCTGTAAACACCTTTTAAAATCTATCCAGTTTACCAAATATCTGTCAAGGACGCACTGCAAAGTGTTCAGTAAGGTTCTCTGGAGACCTACACAGTTAAATAAGCCATGATTACAGAGGCAGAGCCAATTGTACCAAAAGCTACTAGAGATACAAACTGGAAAATACAATTAAAAAAAAACAAAAACACACAAATTGTGGAAGGGAAGTAAGAGAAAACTCCTGTCTGTACACAGAGCTGTGTATTTCCATAGCATGGTATCTCCTTGTCAATGGTGTTGGCTCAAAATTCCATTTGGTAGTGTGTCTTTCTTCCTCCTCTCACATAGATGATTTAAGAAGAGTGAAGAAGAGACAATAAAATGTCCCCCTCCAGCCAATCATCTGCTCCTTAGCCCCCTTCTTGGAGAAGTCTCTGGGCTCTGTGTCCTGCTTTCCATTTGCTACATCATGATTCCTACCCTACCTGGCTGTATTTTGAGCTCCTTTAGTATCCCCTTCCTCAGAGATGGCAGGATGGTGGATGCTGAAATAAAGTCATTCCTTGCTGCCAGAGGCTGTTCAAGAAAGCCTTGAAGACTTTGGGCTAGTCTTTTTTTTTTTTGAGTGTCTCTTTGATTTTGCAAGTCCTAGTCTCAGAAGACTTGCTTCAAAGTCCAAGATTATTTCAGATCCTTCATCTGAGTGCAACACCAGAGTATTTTTTCTTCTGTCACTGGCTTCTTCCCCTTAGCCTGATGTCCTCCAGGCTCACCCATATTGCTGCAGGAAAAATAGTTAAACTCATAGAAGCTGAGCAGAGAATGGTGGTCGCCAGGGGCTGGGGCAGAAGGGAACTTGAGTGGTTTTTCAAGGAGATAATGTTGCAGGAATGTGAGGGGAATATATTCTAGACATCTGTTATATAACATCACCCCGTATAACCATCCTTTATGACACACTTAAAATTTATCGAGGACAGGTCTCATGTTAAATATTCTTTGCTCAATGTGAAGTCAAACCAAACATTACACTTTGAGAAGAGGGAATGGACTATATTCACTGGACTAGCTTTGATAAGATCCTTAATTTTTAGGTCAGACTATTGCCTGTATACCCCCTTTTTTCTTTTCAGATCCTTTACCCACCTCCCTTGTCTCCTCCTGTATCCCACCATGTTCTAATAGGTGTCTTGAGACATCTATCTCCATGCTTAATCTTTCATGTATAAAATACACAACACACCACTAACTCAGTTTCACCTTTAGGTAGCTCTAACAAGTGCTAGAAAACCCTGGTATGAACTGGGATAACAGGGCCTCCCTTGGTGGTGCAGGTGGTTGAGCGCAGCACTGTGAAGCTGTCCGCAGCCTCTGCAGCGCCAGTTCGATCCTAGATGGCCTGTGAGGGTCCCACATTGCGCCGCAGACCTCTCCTGTCACACATGCTGCTCCCCTCAGCAGTGTATTTCAGTCAGTCTGCCTGTTCTGTTCCCCGCTCTGTCCCTGGTGAATCCTC